GTTCAATTACCAAAAGCAATGAGCCATTTAGAATGGATAATAAAAACTCAAACACTTTTCACGACTGGTAGAAGTGTACAGAACCCAAAGAATAGTACAAGCGCAAGGGACTTTGTGAGTTTGTTTCTCACTATTTACATTCCGGAACAGATGACGCTTCAAACAAGCAAAAGCGTTCTCGTTTAGGTTCCTTGAGTGTTAGTGGAAGTAATACTAGTAAAATTAAGATGGTATTAATTGTAAGGATATAAACTAAGTTAAATTGACAGGAAAAGGATATTATAAAGGAATTTAGTCACAATGTAACGGAATGGCAAAAGCAGTTTCCTATCCGTATTAATTGAAAAATGCTAAAATGATCCAGTGGATGAAAAATTGTATTACCGAGAAAATCCGTTCTCGGTAATACAATACGGAAGCGTCGTATCTATACGAGTTCCTATAATTTCTTGGATTTAATGCAACCGCTAATAAAAAAAGGGATTATTATCTACTCATCGTCGATAAGGAGTCCCACTTTTATTTAGGCATAGGTATGACGCATGATAGCCGGTTAAGGGTGGGAAGACGAAGAGGTAAGTAGTGGGACCCACATTATGTTGTAGAAAGACATCCTCTGTTCAGTATGCAATGTTACATACAAGAATAAGACTCTTTCAAACCCTACCAGAGAACCATTATCCAGTTTTGCAAAATAACGCTCAGACACAAGCAGCAAGAGACTACGGGACTGTGTTGTTTATGAAATCTTTCACCATAGTCACCAATGACTATATTTTTCCCCTATCAGTTATTGGGCTCTATTGGTAGAAGACTATCAAATTAATTTGTCTTTGGCAGTACTTTTCCATGATTAACAGATAAACTGAGATTAGATATCCAAGAGGGCATTGATGATTGATTATAAGTATGTCTAGAGGCATTAGTATGTAGCGCCCTATGATGGATCAACATATTATTAATTGCAGTTCATATTCTGTCTATCACCTTTATTCATTCATCAAGTTAAAGAATTTACATCACAATACCATAAAACAGCTGCTCGTACAGATGCACCCTTTGCATGTAATAATTAACTTTTATATCCTTTTATACCGCCAATAAATTTCAAGTAATCGGAGTAGCTCTAGCTTGCAGTTTACTGCAATATAAATGTATACATCAATTGATTTCAATGCCCCAATTTTACGGTACATTTCCTCTCTGTGCGCTTAATATTGTCCTAGTTTTAAATAAATAATCTCCTTCGATCAGGCTTCAAAGTCGTTACTTACTGCGTTTCCACATTAAAGTTATGTTTTGAGGAATAATAACGAATAAATTAGTCTTTTTAAGATCATTGATTACAAAAGCGAAAAAACAAAAATACCTGCCAAATATTAATCCCACATTATTTGATTTGTACTAATTCTACTATCTATGGTTCTCATATTATGCGAAATAGGTACTATATTTATCGAAATGTTTTTGTCAGTACTCTGTTTCTAGCCATTAAAATGTGGGATATTTGGTATATTTTATTTGTCGTTTTCAGAATTAATCTTTACTGCAAAACTTAAATTCCAACGTATTTTGTAAGAAGCAGCGCATTTCATAGTAAATACACTGAATAATACATTTGAAAATGGAATTTCAACATTCGCATTGAATTGTCAGCTGACGCAGAGTACTGTTGTTGAAATAAGAGTCCGCCCTATCTCAAATAAATATTGGTTTGGCGTGCTCGTAACTTGCAACCCGAACTTGAGTTACCAAAGTACACTATCGGTGCATTGTTGGAAAAGTTGACAACGTTCAAACGTTCAAGTTAAATATGTGGTATGTAGTAACTCTATTAAGGATATTATTTATTTTTGCATGACGTAACTGAAAATATACTATGTGTGCAAAACTGTGCTATCTTTATTGGGATTCAAATTTCCCTTGTGTTGTATTGAAATTTATTTAAGTTATTTTGTCACTCTTCATGAAATTACAGGATGCGACTAAAGTGATTTACCAAGTTATTATGGTGCATATCATAAGAGAAGCTAATAAAAACTTTTGTCCAGAGAGAGAGATAATTTTTTGCTAATTCACTAAACTGAGCAAAATATCGACATTAAATAGGCTCCTTCTTACCACAATGATTTATGATTTACCAAAAAAGGCTCACTTGCAGTAAGTATAAGGTTTTGTTGCCTCAAACGATTCAACTCATTAAGGTGGCCATATCCCTGGCCGAGAAATAGTCAAATTTCTGGCATTTTTAGGTACTGAAATCTTGAAAAGTAAATATTAATAAAATCCTTAATGTTCTGTTTATTCATTGTTACTATTTAAACTTACTCAAATAAAATAATTACTAAAAAAAGCGTGTGTAAAACATGCGTTTACTGTTATCCTAACCCCACATTTTAAGAATTATTTTCACGTAAATAATAAATAAAAAAATAAATAAAATAAATAGTAAATAAAATAGTAAATAAAAGTAACCAATTTTATATGTAGGACTAAGCAAGTAAATGTTATAAGAATATTTACATGTGGAGTTGTATATAAAAAAGTGAGTATTTAGTACCTAAAACCTTGATGGTTTGATCGTTTTTTGCACCTGTTTATTCGTTTATTATTTGATAAGTTTTAGATTATTCAGTTATTAAATGTTTGAAATTATTTGTCTTTGTGGAAAACCCTATTTAAAGAATATGGCGCCCTTAACCTCAAACAAGCAACTTATCTGTACTAAACAAATGACCTCTATTTCCTTTCATTGAGTTAGATTTATATTATGTTGCCTTAAGTAAGTCAGCTCATTATGTAAATGAGCTAATTCATTTGCTGTTAGTGAGTTAAGAAAGTAAAGTTAATACAGTACGTTAATTAGCAAATCCATAATTTTCGAGATATTGTGTTGAAATTAAAAAAAAAAATCGCTTTTTCTAAAATATTTGAAGAGGTTTAATGCAGAATGATGAAACTTAAACTAATAAGTTATCTAATTAAAAATAAAATTGCACTAAATTCGGATATAAATACATGTATCAGTGAAAACTCCAGAAATTCGATGCCAGTGGTCATTTTGAAAATCGATCACTACCTGTAACATATTGTGGTGCTTCCAAGAAAGTATATGAGAAAGAGATCCAGTGGCATTGGGTTTCTGGGCTTTTTAATGAAAGTAACTCCAGGTACCTCTGTCACTAGTAAACATGTTTATATTCGAATTCAGAAGATATTTACCTTTAGTTATATAAATCAATCATTATTTTATTATTCTGCATTATATTTTTTTCAATTTCAACAGCTTATATCACGAAAACAATTGGTTTGAGAACCTACGTTTAAATAATTTTGCCTTAAACTCACTCAAAGAATTTCCCTTTAAAGTTTGAACATAAAATTAATATCCTGATTTTTTTTATAATATGCAAAATACCCTTTCGTTTTATTTCATTATTTACATTCAGTAAAGGTGACAATAAATTCACAATACGAATCTACAATATGTTTACTGCATCCTCGTCTTACAAAATAAGTGAATATGTATAACCATAATATGAAAATGAACTGCTTCTTCCATGGGGCGTGCCAGCTTCCAGAGACCCTAGGCAGATTGCCATCGGGAAATGAAGATAACCCATAAGATTATGAAAAAAAATAAGAAGTGAAGTCTCGAACTTATTTACGGTATGTTGACTGCTGGACTGGAGCACGAAGATCCTTATTAAATACCACTGACCCTGGCTGATATATTGAAGACTCTGCAGCTTCAATAATATGTGTTGTTGACCAGATATAGGAGTTGGCAACAGAAAATTAATTTCTGCACGCAGTAGATATTTATACACCAATAGAAACAACTAGGACTTTGGCGAAGGAGTTTTAGCTGCAGTACAGTGGAAGTCAACACTCGACATACATACATACGCACTGAGATAAATCCAGGTTATTTCAGAAAATTTTTAGTTAGGCCTCAGTGAGCCCTAATTTCCTACAAATAAGAGCTCACTACTTCCGGCTGAATAAATTCTAAGAAAGTACATTGGACTTATCCGACAAAAGCAACTCACTTGAGACAGATCGACAATTGTTTCTTTATAGTCCTTACAAATATTTTATTAACAGTACCTAAAATATACTAGCAAAGCGCCTCACTTGAATGATTTCTTTCGGTGCAGTTCTTCAGAATTTTTGAAGTGTTTATTTAGTATTAAAAAAGCTTTAAGGAGCATTTCTTGCCAGAGTAAAATGGATCTTCTGTATGTATAAACTTATTTCTGAAAACTTCTGCTATTGGTGTTGAATCAAAGGCCTACACCGATATTTTTAATAATTTACGATCTTCGAAAACGATTACGAAATTAAAAATTTGCTTACTTAAATAGTTTTCTGCATTTTGCCCTTCATCAATTGGTTATTATTTTTTAATTTAAACTTTTACTTTAAACTGATATGAACTACATGTACTTCACTATATTTTTTACCATATTACTTTCTTCTTTTAAATAGTTGCTTATCAAGGATTTGTGAATTTATTGGAATATGATAATGATTAGTTTCGCAGCAGGAACATCAACACAGAATATCAATATTATTTATACTTTATAACTTTGAAATTACATTAATTTCTATGCATTTGGTCCTACTGAAATGGTCACCTTACGCAAATTGTTACATGACAGCAGAAATTTACAGAAAAATGTATCTATAATATCTTCAATGTAGTTAAATACTTGAATAATTCATATAACAGTTTTCATCAATGTCTGTAATCGAATTTATGCGGACCTTTTCCTGCGTACTACCGTTAACCAAGTGACTATTCGACACGTGGCTCGAAAGCGTTGGTTATCCCAAACTCCATAATATGTCGACAATCCATTCTCATCCGAAAAATAAATATTCTATCAATCGCATTAACCTCGCGGTTACAAATTAGGTGGCATTATAAGCCGATAAAAGCATTCCCGTGTAGCAGGAGCGCCGGTTTGCTAATAGAGTAATGTGTTTTGTTGCAGGGATTTGTCCTGAACCACAATATGTCTGGTCGCATCATCCACAGCAACCAAAGTTTGGTGTTGCAGAAGGTTACTAGGCAGAGCGCGGGTCGCTACAGGTGTTCCGTCGTCAACTCCGAGGGGGAGACCGTCAGCGACGAGCTGGATTTCAGGGTGCAATGTGAGTGACAAATTTCTTAGTTTTATGGCATCTGTGAACCCCTTGCCACATTTACGTGGCCCTCACACTGGCACTATTTATTGAAGTAGAGGACAAAACAGGAAGAGATACTCTATATTTTTTTTAATGTAAATATATTTTATTGTTAGCTCTCATAATTTTAAAACTAATTAAAATAAATTCAAAAATGTTTAAAAACATTTCAAATTAAAGCAAATAATATTCTTCGATACCAAAAACCTAGGTATGTAAAAGATATCTAAGGTCATAGTCTTAACTGATTTAATAAGAATTTTAAAAAGTTTTTGGATTTAAAATAGAGTAAAATTACTAAATTCATATTAACCTAAATCTAGTCATATTGTCAACACTGTTCCTCTGGTCTCGCAATATTTATTAATTTCGTTTGCAAAGAAGCCACTTGCCCATTTCATCATAATTGGAAATTAACTTGGTATTGAAGAACATTGTTTAATTTAATTTGATGGCATTTTGAGAAAAAAATTTGAATTTATTTGAATTAGCTTTCTATATTAGATTGCCTGCGGATTTTACAATAATTTTTCAATCAGTATAACTATGCGGTCATAATGTGTGAATATCTATATTATGTTCCATGAATTTAACATTATTCACCATGAAACTACATCACGGAAAGATATAGGTAATTGAATTAAATATATAAAACGATATTTCAATTGCAGTTCATTGGAATAATTAAAAATAACTTGTTCACTAGTCATATTAATCATTCATCTGTCAGTAATATTACAAATAATAATGCTGTAGTTATTTTCATTAAACGAGTTCAAGATATGGCAGATCAAGAATCAAAACATTTTGAGACAGTTGAATTCCTTTTCTACAATTATTATCGATGGCAGATAGATTAAGTCAACAGTTGTGACTTTTCGACAAAGTTGATAAAATGAGACTTTGACATGATTTTTCTTTATCTGAGAAAAGTACAAAGTATTATTGAACAGGATCATCGAAAGAACACAGTTTAAGAATATTTTAATAATGGTTTCTATGCTTTAAGAATATTTCAACCAGAAATAAGTTTCTGGTAAAAAATGGTACTATTGCAATGTTGAAAGCGGCGTGAGTTATGAGTAATTGGAGAAAACTATTCGTCTGCTGCTGCTGGATACAAGTAAATTGTACTAACAGCGATGCATCAGATGTCTCCACGCTGATATCGTAAGAATCCTCTTCTGATGGCGATTCAATATTGGAGCACGACTGGCCTTATCAACTAGTACATGCTAATGAACAAAACAATCCAACCGCACTTAGCACTACACCCCTTTTTGCAATTGCAAAAAATTGTATTGAGGAGTTTTTCCGGTGTAGGTGGGAGTAAAGTCTGGATTGGTTCCAATGTATTGTCAATTAACTTCCAACCCGTCTTCTGGGTCCAGTTGATTACCAAGCCACACTTGAACTTTTTTTTTGGAGCTCCTATTTATACAGAAAGAAGGAAGTGAATTACGTTGGTGATTACAGCTTGTGGAGTACAGTTACTCTCTTAAAAACTTTAGCACAATTAACTAAATCTTGATTTTCAAACAATTTAAAAACTGTTGTTTTATTCCTCCTGAAAATTATCTATATCTCGGAAAAAAAGTGTAAGAACAATTTTTATAGATTATTGTATGGTTTACAATTTTTGTCAGACCTATTTTTAAGATAAAACTTACCGTTTGTCTTTAAATGAAAAAAACCCATATTTACGAACTTTGACTTTGAATAAATTTTTTTGCAGATGTGAGATCGATGGGGACTTTTCAGTTTTCCTTTATAATGGTGTTCCCAACATTCGTACCAATTTTCAACTTTACGCGAATTACACCACCACACACAAAAAAAAAGTTGTCTGAAATGTACATGCGACATATGATTTCCGATGTATTTTCGCCCGCTGAACACGAATCCGAAGTCAGAATTGCTCCATCACCCTTCAATTTTAAGCAAAACGCTGAAGAATTTTCTGAAAAATGAAAATTTTCCCTAATGATAGATCTTATAGATGGGTAACGTTCGTTATGAGCAATACAAAGTTTCCTAAAATTTTTGCCCGCTAAATACGGGTCCGTAATGAGGGTTTTTAATCAACCTTCATTCTTCAGCGAAATTCAGAAGAATCTTCAGAAAAATGAAGACTTTGAGCTTGCTAGTTGAAGTTTGTCGTGTGATACATGTCTTCTATAGCATGTTTCCTGTTGAACTCGGATTCGGAATGTATATTTCTATACCGACCTTCCGTCTTCAGTAAAATTCAGAAGAATCTTCAGGAAGATTAAAACTCTCAGCTTGTTAGTTGAAGCTTGTCGTGTGATACATGTTTTTCGTACCATTTCTCCCGCTGAACACGGCTTTCAAATTAGAGTATTTCCATCTTTCTTTAGGTTTAGCAAAACCCAGGAGAATCTTAAGAAGAATGAAGACTTCGTGCATGAAAGTTGTTCCTTATGCATGATTCATGGTTCCCTTAGTACTTTGATTCAGTATCTTTCATTTAGCATCTGAATAGATACATCATACTTTAGTATCGAGTAAAGCTCTAATGAATTTTAAGATATTGAAGTTCTTCAGTATTAGTTTGTATTTGCTGTAGCGGCATACATGATCCATCCGTTTTGTGGACCCAGTAAGTCATTTCAGAAATACCTATATTTTTTATTTACATTTTTTAATTTTACATATATTACTTTATTATTCATCGTTATAAATCTTATATCTAGTCCTTTATCAAATAAATTACGTATTACATATAGCCTCATATTTCTAATCTTTCAAGTATACATTGATCTGTAATATTTAGTTTTGTACATGAATCTAATTTCTGAATTTTTCAATTCTTTCACGTTCATTAACATTTTAACGAAGATAAACATAGAGTATTGCGGAAATGATAGAAAATGCTTGAAAATATATCAGCTCTTTTTCCGAGAGCTGATTCCTTCGGGGTCACTATGAAGCTGATCGAATTCTAACATCGAATTCGTAAGTAATGATGCTTTGGAAAGTATATATATAGCATGTACACATATTCATGTATTTACCATTTTTGTGAAGACTCTTCTGGGCTTTACTGAAGACTGAAGAAAAATGGATAAATTCAGATTCCGGATCCATGTTCAGTACGCAAAAATACTTCGAAATCATACTACAAATACTTTAAACTACATACTATAAACGGAGTTTCAGATATAGTTAATAAGCACAACGTCTTCATGTTTCTGGAGATTCTTCCGAATTTTTCTGAAGACGGAAGGTAAGTGGAGTAAAAAAAGATTTCGTATCAAAGTGCAGCGGGAAAAATACTATGGAAAATATGTATCACAAGCAAAGCTTCAATTAACAAGCTGAAAGTTTTAATTTTCCTGAAGATTCTTCTGAATTTTTCTGAAGATGAAAGGTCGGTATAGAAATATACATTCCGAATCCGAGTTCAACAGGAAAAATGCTATAGAAAACATGTATCACACGACAAGCTTCAACTAGCAAGCTCAAAGTCTTAATTTTTCTGAAGATTCTTCTGAATTTCGCTGAAGAATGAAGGTTGATTAAAAACCCTCATTACGGACCCGTATTTAGCGGGCAAAAATTTTAGGGAACTTTGTATTGCTCATAACGAACGTTACTCATCTATAAGATCTATCATTAGGCAAAATTTTCATTTTTCAGAAGATTCTTCAGCGTTTTGCAGAAAATTGAAGGGTGATGGAGCAATTCTGACTCCGGATTCGTGTTCAACGGGCGAAAATATATCGGAAATCAAATGTCGCATGTACATTTCATACAACTTTTTTTTGTGTAGTGGTGTTATTGTAAGCTTACCCCTATTTTTTGAGCTACTATTACCGGGTTAGTACCAGTCAGTGATAAATGAATATTTTTATTACCACTGATTCCAAATGTCTCCAATTCTGAACGCAGCTACGCGAGTATCATTCATCCCGAAAGTAGACTGTGAGCTTAATAATAAATCGTCGGAGTCATATCTCTTACATACACTTGAAAAAGTGTGCGGTACGTCCTCCCTTTCAAATTTGCAGAAAGTTCCAGACCAGTTTTAAATGTACGGGACTGCCGCGGAGTACAAGTAGGTTATAAAAATGTAATATTTACAGGACTACTCGGAGTTTTGCCTTTCGAAAACAGGCCGGCATTAAATAAATGAGATGTCTGTGCGAATGCTAGTGAATAGGGAGAGAACTGACTCCTACGCGCCAATCCGAAACGCAAAGGTATTCTATAAAGGCGAGCCGTGAGAAAACCCACATATGTTATTAAGATAAATTACGTATAAAGTGAATACTACATCTGAGGAGGTAGTAATGACTTCTCTCCAGAAACCATTCGTCGCCGGCAGTCATTTCGGTGGCCATTTGCATCTTGCTGTTCTCCCCTCGTTTGTAGCTGTCTATTAGAGTAACGAGGTAAAGTTACGCCTAGTTAGCTACATCGGATGGGATATTATCGTGTTTAGGAGCGCAACGACGACAAATGCCCACCCATTTTTATTCCTGATAACGAGTGCCTTTAGCGGAAAGGCGGATTTTTTCCTAAAAATAGATAACTGGATCGCGTGCGAGGTGTAAATATAAATAGATCGGTGTTGCTGCATTTCTAGAAGTGTCAATCATTTGTGATTCGGGATTTGCACGAACAGAAACATGATAGAATTGGCCGGCAAGGGAGAGTCGACATAAAATAAAAGTACAGGGCTATCTATTTTACAAGACGTTCTCTAAGTCAGAAGGTATCTTTTTATAAATTAAATTAACAATACGTATTGTTAGACCGATCAAAATTACTCATTTAGAGGGAAAAAAAAGAAAATTGTTACCTGGACTTTTATAAGTAGAAATGGTAAAGGGGCTTATAATAAACAAAAAAAAAAAAAATAAATAAATGTGTGAACAGGGGCGGCGGAGGGTTGATTTGGGGGATGGAAAAGTTATGAAAAATTGTATCATTGGGATTTCTGG